AGAGAGAGAGAGAGAGAGAGAGAGAGAGAGAGAGAGAGAGAGAGAGAGGGAGAGAGGGAGGGAGAGCCCAGAGAGGAAAGGTCCAGGAACAAGACACAGTCTTTAAGGTCACAAACTATGGCCCTCTCCCTTCAACAAGGCCCCACTTCAAAATTTTCTGTCACCTCCCAGTAATACCATCCAACTATGATCTTAACAGTGGATGAATTCACTTGATGAAGTAAGTACCCTCACCCTCATAATCCAGTCATCTCTCCAGGCATTTCTTCATCCAGTGAAGTTGACAACCACAATTAACTGTCACAGTGTACCTCAAAGATACTTCATGTGCCTCTCAGGTACTTCATGATGTCATTTCCTCAATCTTCATAGGATTCCTTGGGGGCATCAGCTCATATTTTTATGTGCTTGCCTTTAAAAGTTGTTGGTTGATTTTTTTTTCTGTCCTGTATTACTTGTTAATACTGTGCAGTATTTATTCAGAATTAAAACTGACATCAGTTATGCTGCCTTCTTCTCTTTTATTGCCTCTGTCTTGACAAAGGATTTAAGGAGAGAATAAAGATAAATGAATAAAGTTACTCTTTATATTTCTTCAGTATGGTAACACATTGCCGTTATATCAAGTTTCCTTTCTGGCCTTAAATGATTGCCCATATACAATTCAGTCATTCCTCTTGTTTGCTTTGAGAGGAACTTCTTGGACTTTATTTTTTTCTGGTAGAAGTTATTCAGGGACTGGCTGAAATAACAAAGTCATAGTATCAGTCCTTGGCTTCTGTTTCTTTCTCTTGTAATTATACTGTTGTTTATGAGAACTTATAAAGTATTTTATTTATGGTAAAAGAAAGGATTTACTATCTTAAGAGTAGAAATAACATACGGTATTCCAAATCTTTAAAAGTGGACTGCAAATCTATGGACTTATTAGATGTCTCTCTCTCTTTTTTTTTTTTTTTTTTTTTTTTTTTTTTTTTGGTACTGGGGATTGAACTCAGGGTACTTGCGCTTGCAAGACAGGCCACCGAACTGCAGAGCTAAATCTCCGGCCCCGATGTGTCTCTTTTTGAAGTCAGATTCTTACTAGGTTTGTGTTATTATAACAGGATTTTTACTAGGTTTGACTTATATATTATATTGAATCGAATACATATATACATATATTTTGTTGTTATTTTCTCTTGCAGTCGGATGCCTCCTCCCCCTAGTGATTCTTGTGACTTTAATGATCCCCGGCTGCTGAAAAATATTGAAGATCACCATGTGAGTCCATCACTTTACTTCTAAGACAATAAATAGCTTATGGTTCCTGATTATTTATATAACATATGTGCATTGTGTTGAAGTGGCAATTTTGGAGCCTGGGAAAAGGAACCATTTCAATTTTTACTGTGTTAATACTTTAGGCAGGTGATTTATAAAAAACTTTGTTGTGAGCCTACATAAATTAGTGTAAAGCTGAGTTTAAGTAGGCAGTGAAGTTATAAAGTGGCACACCGAGGTCAGATCTCACCCCAGAATTCTGTAATAGTTTGGATTTCTGTTGCTTTATAAGATTGTTGCAGTACCTTTTCTTTGCAGCTGTGAATCTAAGAGACCATGTGCTTTGAAAGATCACTGGATAACTTTTGACAAAGATACTTTTAGGAAACAAAAAAGCAAGATATAATAACAGGTAGCATTTGCTGCATTCTACTCTATGCCAGACACTCAACCTGTGTTTCCCTTAGCAGTTGAGACACCTCTGAGAGGTAACAGGAAGTTGCATAAAAAGAATGAATTGGTAAGCTTACAGCCTAAGTCTGTCCAGTTTATTTTTTTTTACAGAGATGGGCTGTCCCTGAACTTCTGAGCTCCATTGGTCCTCTTGTCTCAGCCTTCCAAGTAGCTAGAATTGCAGTCACATGGCACTGTGCCCAGCTTATGTTCAGTTCCTAATTATGACACTGTACTACCTCAACTGTTCTAGTAAACCAGGATTAACTATGCAATTGTATCAATTCATTTTTTATTTAACGGTTACTCTAAAAAATACCAACTTAGAAAAAAGTATTCTATGTAAAAGGATTTTACAAATAGTTAATTAGTATAAACTGGTCTTTCCTGAAAATAATTTCTGAATTTAAAGTTAGATAAACATAAGCAAATTAAAAGCTTGTCTTTCCAAAATTTTGTTAAGACATACATACATTCAAAACTTTGGACTGTGGTTGCATCTCAGTGGTACAGTGCTTGCTTAGCATGTGTGGCACCCCGGGTTACAGCCCCTGAAACCTTTTCTAAATTGTCAATGAGGAAATTCTTTGTCGCAATCAGTTCTCATGTTTTTTAATGCTAAAACACTCCCAGCAGCAATTCTCAACAGTGAGTGTGTGAGGGCTCCCATGTCCCAGGTCAGCAGTTCTGACCAGCACTGGGCTGAGCCTGGGAAGTAAGTGGTCCCATGATCCAGTGAGCACGTTGCAGAAGTCCATGCTCTACCACAGTCTCAGACACCAAGGTAGGAACAGCCACCAGATGTTCTTCAAGTAGCAGGGTAATGTTGCCAAAGACTCTTGGGAGGAGAGTGGTTTTAATCAAAGATGTCAGAAAATCAAGTGTTTTGTGAAGACTTGCTTTCTGAAAGAGGAATCAGGTGTGTTCATTTAATACTCATCTGAGACTGATAACAAAGGTGGTGGGAAGGTGAATGGGAAAAGAGATGGTGCAGGGTGTCATGGAAATACTTAGGAAACTGCTCTTGGTCTAGTTTCACAAGGTTTGTTTCCCAACTATCAGTCAGCGGGTCAGAAAGTAGTGGAGGAAGTAAGGAGGTTACAAAGCACAGATCCTGCCAAGACCCAGCGCCAGGTTAGGAAGAAAGCAAATTGCTGAATCCCCTTTCCAGGAGAGGCTCATTTATCTATGTACTGAGCTAAATTTGGGAAGCCTCATTTACATTAAACCCTTGGCTCTGAGTATGAGAGGCAGAGGAATAAAAAACACTCAAAGGATTTCTGTTAAATGGAGAAAGAAACATAGGACATTGTTAAGAGCTGTCGTCCTCTTTTGCAGGATAGGAACCATGTAGCAAGGGGAGAAGTGATTTCATTTTGTCTTAGTACAGTGGTGCCCCCTCAGTAGGCACCCTGGGTGTTATAATTGCTGAGATGTGAGTAGTGTGGCCATCTAACGCCACCAAATGGTCTCTGTATTCACAAAATGTGGGAAGCCATGGATACTCGGGGCCAGGGGCAAATCCTCATCTGGAGAAGAGATCTTCATGCTGCTGGGATCCTAATTCTTGAAATCTTTTCATACAGTGCATGGAGTAATGTACCCAATGGGTGTTTTTCTTTTTTTCTTTTTTCTCTGAGTTTGTTGGTACATTTTAGGTATACAGTAGTTATATTCATCATTGGGATCTTGCACCTTTATGTGAGAGGTCTTGGTTCTCATTTTTTACCCTTGTCCCTGCCCTCCCTTCAATGGGTGTTTTTCAACAATTTAAAGGCAGGCCTTCCTAGAGCAGTTGTGCATTTGCCAAAACATAGTGGGGTTCCTCTCCAAAGAGAGGAATTTATCTACTACAGAATTTTCATTTTCCTGGGTCATCATTTCTGACTTTCTGGGTCCCTCAGGACTCTTTTAAGCTTAATAGCCAGAATAAGATTTGGCCCTTAGAGATTCAACCTATGGAAAATTTCAAAGGACAGTTCTCATGATCCCTCGATTACAGTGTACACTGGTGACTTTGCATTTGTGGATACATTTCCAAATTGCCAGGAAGCAGAGATAGCTTTCTTTTGAATCATTATGCCTAGGACTTTGAGCTTCAGTTTTTAAAAAAATATCATTTCTATCTATATATTATTTGGATCCTTTGTAGCTACAGTTTGGAGTGCACAACAATTTGAGGCATGTATCATTTTCTGCTGTATCAAGTTCATCAAGTGGAAAATACTTATTTCTGGGTATATAGAATTTTGTGCACATTAAAGACTGTAAAATGAAAGACAGATATTGTGTGACTTCACTTGTATGAGTACAAAGAATAAATAAAATCAGAGTCAGAAATCATGGGAAAGTCTATTAGGGGGAAGAGGGGACAGAGAATTAGGATTTGAAGGGTACAGAGTTTCTGTTGGGGATGATTAAAAAGTTTTGGGTACAGACCATGGTGATATATATTGTGAATTTATTCAGTGCACTGAATTGTACATTTACAAATGGTTAAAATGATAAATATTGCACGTAAAATTTTACTACACCCCCTGCTTTCCAAGATATGCACGTATGCACATGTGTGTATATAAAGATACGTGTATTGTTCCCCAATAAACAACTAGTTCTTCAAAGTTATAAAAAAAGTTTGTTCCAGAAAAAAGTTTATTTTCAAAAACGGAAAAATTTATTTTCAAAACCAGCTAACATATATTACAAACATCTTCAGATTAATTTTGTCTCTTTTCTTAATTTGTTATAGAATGCCAAGTTAGAGAACCAAAGGTAGATGCACGCTGTCATTGGAGTCTTGTTTTTGTTTTTATGAATTTGGTCTGGGCCGTGATTCAAGTTTGAAAGTTGATTTGAATATATGTGTGCTGCTCTTCTTTGTAACTGTCACAAAACATGTCACCTTTAAGTTTATTCTTTTAGATATAAAGTCAAAAAGACTCCTTGTGTTGTTTCACCATGGAACATGGGTAGTTTTTAGATGCAGGGGAAGACAATCTTGAATTGAAGCCCAATTCTCAAAATAAAGAGCTTTGGGGAAAAATATTTTTCAACGGTAGGCGCTGAGGAATTTGTGAATCCCCTAATCTCACTGACTCGAATTTAATGTGTTCTTTCTATTCATGTAGGCTGATAAGAAGTAGCCATGTGAACAGTGGTGATTTGCTTTCATGAAATTCCTCTTAAGTCATAGTGACGAGGGGGAGGGGCTGTGTTAAAATCTTTTCTACAGCAGTCAGCGTGTTTATCACTTAAAAAAAACTTCCCTGAAAAATAAGGAAGCACCTTATGTGCTTACAAATGTGAAAATACAAATTATCTCAAGCTTATAGCTGATTGCTTCTTTAAAAAGGTCACATTAACGACATTGGCATTAAAATAGCCTCACACAAGGAACTTTGTTACCACTTTTGTCTTTGAAAATCATTGTTGAAGTGCTAGTCCATGCAGATAGAGGAGAGCTGAAAAAAAATATATGGAAGAGTTGATTTGTGGATGATAATATTGCCTTAAGAACCTTGGATAGCCAACTGAAATTCACAAAGTTGGTAAGAGCTGTTACAATTGCAGATTAAATCAGCCTTTAAAAAATCATTTAAAAAAAACTTATTTGGCAAGAATAAACCACTGTGAGATGAAATGGAAATCAGATTCCCTCATAGTATAAAAAGCAACAGAAGGTTGGGGGCATAGCTCAGTGGTAGTGTAAGACCTAAAGTCTCACTTCCACTCCAAGGAGCGTGAACAGCCAAAAAGGCCTCTATGATGCTGAGCCCTAAAACCCAGCGAGGCTCCGGGAGCTTGATGGAGAAACCCAGGAGGGAACACCCCAGGCTAGATGGTAAATAGACCTTTATTAGTCTGGCCAGACGGCACTCCCAGAGCCAGGTAGCTCAGAGAGGCAACTGCTCAGGGGCTGAGGTGCTTTTTATAAGGTTTTTCTAAACAAAAAGTCAGTAAATTTACAGAACAAGACTGCAAACACATTGCTTATCTCATGCACGAAATGTTCTATGGTCACCTTTTGTATACCATTCGCCCCTGGACTGGCTGTTAGTCCAGTTAGCAATTAGCATATGAAGAAGCACAGTCTCTGGTCTACTAGCCTGGAGTCATTTTAGCTTATTCAAGTCTTACAGTAGAGTGCTTGACCAGCTTTTATAAAACCCTGGGTTCCATTCTTAGCACTGAGAAAAAAATGTAGTTTATTAAAAAAAGAAAAAGCAATAGTTTAAACATGTCATGCAGTTGTAAAAAGGAAAATTCCTTAGACCAATTAAATTTAGTGGACTCTGAGCAGAGAAAAGCAAAACAAGGCATACCAAAAAACAAAAACAAAAACAAAAAACAACAACCAAAAAAAGAGGGCTAGAAGTAGAGCCCTTGCCTAGCATGTATGAGGCCCCAAGACCAACCCGCAGCATGGGAAGGAGGATGGCTTATTGAAAATCAGACCTGTCTCAGACCAGGTAGGTTCTATAAACTCCAACTAACAATGTAATCTGACAGCGTTTATAGAAAAACAGAAGCGAGGTATAGAAAAACAAACTAATTGGCTATATCTTAATCAATCAACTGATTTTATAGATTAACTAGCTAGTTGGGTATAGCCTAATATTAGCCAATTGGCCTCAGGGCTTCCTGCAGCCAGCTAAAATTCAGTCAGTACGATTAAATTTGATATTGGTTTGGTCTGTTGGTGCTTAGTACAGGTACCCATGGCAAAGTCACAGCCAAATCCATAGCTCACTATTTATTGTATTACTGAACACAGTGCTTCACTTACAGCAGTTACTCAAGTATTTTTTTCTTTTTAAAATTTTTATTTCAATGTAATACAAGTAGATATTAATGAAATATTTTTAAAACACTCCTATAAAAATAAAGCAAAATTTTATAACAAATTATAGAAAAACATTAGTTAATACATCTTAAAAGAATGGCCAAAATGTTAGAGTTCAGGTATTTTTTAAGCAAATAAAAACTAATAAGATAATACTAGGTCTTATTATATGATTTAGAAGCCTTTAGTGAATGATATTCTTAGATAGGAAAGGTAGTGTTAGATCTTTATTTTCCTACTAATTATAAATATAGTATAATTTCAATGAAAATTGTAGGATTATTTCTTTATGAGGAAGATAGGAGCAATCAACTCAATGAATATCTAGAGCAGTTATAGTTTTCAGTGTTTTTTGTGGTAGTGAATGGAGGATGCCCTGCCTTACAGGTATTGAGATTGTTAGGAAAGAGGACAAGAAACAGAGGCTTGAGCTCAAAGGGCAGGTTTATTTCAGAACAAACTAGAGAGGGACCACTTTGGCACTAGAGACTATACAGGCTACTCTCATACAGGCTATAGGGTTTTTATAGGATTGTGGGAACAAGGTGTGTGTGTGTGTGTGTGTGTGTGTGTGTGTGTGTAGTTTTCAGTGAAAAGGAGCTATGGTTACTTGTTAGAGACAAGTCTTGAGGATGCACAGGGAGTTGCGGTTACTTGTCAAGCACAGGGCTGAGTAATGAGGGGAGTTATGGATCACAGCTCTGGTTTCTGGGCCTTATCAACCCATCATTGTACATTTGTAGCAGGTACACAAGCACAAGTGTGGCGGGGGGGTTGATGTGATTCTGTTCAGCTCAGAATGGCAGCAGTCAGATTCTCTCAAAATCGTAAAATTAAAGTTCAGACACATTGTAGAACAGATGCATGTCAGCCGGGTGGAAAGATCAGGGGTGTGTGTGTTTCAGTGATCCCATGTAGGCACAAGCAGGAACACGGGGATGTGGGATATGAGGGGCTAGGGCTGTGGCAGTTGCAGGGCGCTCAGTGCTGCTCTTGGTTCTCCTCTGGGGCATGGGTGGCACTCAGCAGCCAGGTTCTGAGACGTGGAACTGGTGCAGTGACTGCTGTACTGAGTCCCAGGGGATGAGAGTGTGGGAGAACCAACTGCCAGCTGGGAGAGGGCTGCCGTGAAGGGACAGTGGGAAAGGACATCTGACCAGAGTGACGGGAGATGGGCTCATGCAGAGCCTGTGTTGGGTCATGGGGGATGTCGGGTCCAGTTTAGGATCTGGACTCTGCTAGGACAGCCAGGGAACTATCACTGGATTTATAGCAGGGAATGACTTGCATCCAGCCCGAGTGTATAAGGTGTGATTTAAAAAATATAGTGAATGTTAAAATTTTTAAGAATTATGACAATAATAGACATATTCCCATTGATCCCGTCAAGATACTCCCCTTCACTTGAATACTTATTTCTTCACCTTGGCCACTTTCTGAAGCAGTTCTGGAAGTCCTTTTTCCTTAATGTCTTTGGCTGTACTGTTACGAGTGCCTTGATATCCTGAATCCATTCCAAATGTTTACCTTCAGGGTCATTTTTCCTTTAGAGAAGAGCCAGAAGTCACACAGTGCCGTCTCTGGAATAAGGTGAATAAAGACATACTGTAATGTTTTGGGGAGGCTGCTTTTCCATTGGATGGCGCTAGGCAGCAGCATTTTTAATCACACCTCATAAAGATACTCACAGAAGAAGATGTCTAGAACTGCTTTAGAAAGTGGCAAGAAGGGTGGCATGTGTGTATGAAGTGAGGGGGAATATTTTGAGGACGATTAACAGCCTTATATCTTTTACTGTAGTCATTATTTAAGCATTCACCATGTATTTGATTACATCCTGGACATCAGTATTGTAACTGAGGGGCTAACGTGGTCTGTTGCTTGTAGCCTACAGCCCCCTGCATACAGGAGTTCCTCACCCTGCTGGCTGTGTGCCACACTGTCGTTCCCGAGAAGGATGGAGAGGAGATCATCTACCAGGCTTCCTCCCCAGGTGAGGGCTCTCGGTGGCTGTGCCGTTCCAGCCCCTACCCTGGAGGTGATTTGTGGGAGAGGTAGGGCCTGCTGGCTTCATACCACTTCCAGGTTGGACTGCAGGTGTGAAATGTGCCAGAGCCTGTGCTGGGCTCTCCTGACTCTCTTGATGACCCTTTGATGGCAGAAAGGATCTCGCATTTCCCAGCAATAGTTATTGGGCTCCACAGAGCTTTCCAGGGAGAACAGGGCTGCATGGGCCACATGTTGTGGATTTCCACTGCTGGGGGAAATGTGTATTGGAGCAGTTGCTCTTTTCCCACTTCTGGATATCTGAATCTCACAGCGCTACAACTAAAACATGGCCTTGCTTGGAAGAGGTGCTTAGTCAGAGTGAGTACAATATCAGGTTGATTAGGAGAACGTGATGCCAACTGAAAGCAGTGGGAGGCAGATCATTATTCTCCTGGGGAGTTAGCTCTCAGCCCATACCATCACGTCCTATGGAAGGGCTCACTTCAGGCCCAGGTAGTAGGAAGAGCAAGGACTCTTGGCCCCTGGGTCCTTACTAATGTACAGGAACTCCAGGCTTCCTTAGCCACGGGAGTCTTAGTTTGAAAAATGGCCCTTCACAGAAGTCTGTCACAATGCAGGCTAAGTTAGTATTTCACCAAACTTCTGCTTGACAGATGAAGCTGCTTTGGTGAAAGGAGCTAAGAAGCTGGGCTTCGTCTTCACAGCCAGAACACCGTACTCTGTCATCATAGAAGCGGTAAGAGCCAGATCTGTGCGCATTCCAGACCCCCCACTGTTTTCAAGACTGTATCTTTGAAATTATGTGAATGCCATGGCTACATTTTTCTTTTTCTTTCAGTGAAAAAAAAAATAGACTCAAGACACCCAGTCGTTGGGTCTTATGTCATTGTATGAGCTTATTTTGCATTGTTATAAATTCTCCTTTAAAGATGCTTCTCTATAAGTCTTCAATACACTGATGTAATATATGGCAAGGAACTTTGCAGGTCTTTTCTCTAAAAGTTGGGAAAATGGCTTCATGTCCCGCATCTCTGAGGCAGGTTCCGTGTTTCTCTGTGGCTGCTGTGCCCAATGGCTCCTACTCAGTGTGCCCTCGGTCCGCAGGACTTCAACTCTGGTTGTGAGAGACGAAAGTTAGAGCTTAAGATCTTTTTTATTTATATTGTTGTGTTTCCCTCCTGACATCAAGGAGTTTCTGTATTTTTCTTTCTTTCTTTCTTTTTAGCTTTCCTCCCTGTGGACTAGTGGCAGAAATTTAGTGATAGGATAATTGAGTATCCATTATTCAAAATGTTTGAGACCGGAAATGTTTCAGATTTCATTTTCTTTTTCATGCTTTGAAATATTTGCATTCCTATAAAGAGATACCTTGGTCTAGATACCCAGGTCTAGACATGAATGCATTTATGTTTCCTAAATACCTTCGCCACACAGTCTGAGAGTCATTTTTATAGTAATTGTAGTGTGCCCCTGTTGTGACTGTGACTGCTCCCAGGAGGTTGGTGCGGGATTTTTCACTTGTTTTGGCATGTCAGTGCTAAAAACGTTTTGGAGTTTGGATCTTCACATTAGGGACTCACAGTCTGTATCAAGAATAAAATCAAATAGGGCCGGGGATTTAGCTCAGTGGTGCTGCGCCTGCCTCGCAAGTGCAAGGCCCTACGTTCGATCCCAGGTGCAAAAATAAATAATTAAATAAATAAAAAGAATTAATCAAATAGACGGGCAGCAGGTGACAGTAGTGGTTAGGGCTGGCACAGCACTGCTGTTGTTACTGAGGATCAACTAAAAGGGCTGTGACTCTCTGTGGCCCAGGAGGGCCGGCTGTTAGTCACTATCTTCCGTTGCTCTCCTCTCAATTTGGAAAAACTGATAGATCATTACAGTTTTTAGCTCATTCTTAAGTCGCTAGTCCTATTTAATGAACTTGAAGTTTACTTCCAAGTGGTATAATAAATTGATATTGTCCTGAGGTGACAGTAGTTTTTTCCTTTTACTTAGAAAATACCCAAACCTATAATATATCATAGCTTTTGCAAAGTGCCTATCTCCTGGTGTCTTCAGTTTCTTTTGGAGTACGGAGACCAAACTGGTTTTATTTTTACTTTATTTCAATCAACAGAGGGAATTTAGCTAAAGGAAATATGCATTCATTATTAGTGGAATGAAGTGCTGATTGAATATAGAATTTCTCTCATAGTAATTGAAAGAAAAAATGAGTCTTTTTCTCCTTTGGGTCGAGCAGACTTTCAACCCTGATGGTAGGATTTTCAGGTGGGAAGAGTGAGAGGCTGGGCAGGCTGAGTGTGAGCAGAGGAGCTGCTTGTGCTTGGCTCGTGGTGCCAGGAAAGCAAGGGAGCAGAGAACCTATGACATGTCGTCACAGTATTAGATGCTGGACAGGCTCCCCTCTGCTATGCTATTGAAATCTTCTGTCCTGTTTCTGGGAGTAAAAAAAAGATGGCCTGATTAGTCGGGCCTCAAAAGTATTAATTAAAAATCCTATTCAACCATGAATTCTGGGCTGTAATTGATCCACAAATTCTCCAGTTGACCATCAGCTACTTCCACGGAGGGTCCTTCCTTACCTACCGCCGTGATCACGGACACACATGCGCTGTGTGTGTGGGGGCGTGAGATTGGTGTGATAGAGAGGCAGAGAGGAGGTTGGTGCTGGCAGTGAACAGGGAGGGCTTTTCTGAACAGGGCCAGACAGAGTGGGGGTCAGCTGGGGAAGAAGGGAATTGGGATACTCAGAGGTGAATTAAAGACTGACAAAGCTCTATTAAATGGAAGCTGGGGGTGCTTTAGGATCAGTGAGGTGGGGTGCAGCACTGTGGTGGGAAGATGTTTATAGGTTCAGTCACAGACTTGGTAATTTGTTATTTCATTGATTACTTTTGTTAAGCCTGAGAGACTAACACTGTCACCATTCATAAGAAAGTCACCTACTTAGTAGCAGTAACTGGATTCAAACTGATTGCGATGTTATTACATTTAAAAATTTGAAAATGGCATGCACACAATCTACAATGTTTTTCAGATGGAAAAATTGTGAATATTGATGTTCTAACTTGAGAGAATTCAAAGAAAGGGCATTTCATTGTTAATTGCCCTAAGACCAGGTGCATATTCATAATCCTTATGTGCAACTCTAAAGCACCAAATCTTTGAATTCCAAGTTTTCCCTCTAAGTCTGGGGAACAGTCTTTTGGCATTAAAAACTAATAAGAACTGACAAGAGCCTATTTATGGTCATTATGACTCATTCAGTTTTATAGTCTTACGTTTTCGAGAAAATTGAGTGCTCTCACCCTACTGGGGACATATGCTAATAAGATATATGCATAGGCTTTTATAAAAATGTATAAAACCCTGAATTCATAAGCATCACTGGCCCCAGGATTTCTGAGGGTGCTGGGTCTTTTAGCGTCATCTTTTTGGCTGTCCCAGTCGAACCTTAAGAGCCATAGAGATAACTGATGAAAAAGAAGCTTCTACTGTACCAGAAGAGGGCACTGTGATCCCACCAGATTGTGAGAAAACTGCTCCGGGTAAAGAGGTGGTTACAATACAAGGGTCTAGAGGAGGGGAAGAGTGTTTATAATTGAGGGCAGATACTTTGAGATACTATTTTGCACCTCAGGTAAAAGCCTGTTTTTCTTACTGCAGATGGGACAGGAACAGACATTTGGAATCCTCAATGTCTTGGAATTTTCCAGGTATGTTTTTCTTTCAAACATTTGAAATTTTAACATCTATTTAACAACTTCATGTGCATATTTGCATAATTGTTTGGATTAGTACATAAGCATTAAATGTGGTAAATATACCTCCATTAACCCTTTTCTCCTTGGAATTTGTGACTTCAGTGAAATAAAGTGAAGTTGATCATTTCCCTTTATTTTTTTCCCAAAGGGTTGCATACACTTCCGTGTCTTCCCTTCCCCTTACCCCTCCCGGGCCTGGTGATCTTGCATAATCAGGGGCAGGTGCATGCATCTACAAGGATAGAGTGTGTGAGTGTTTTTATCCACCTTTGAGATTGTGCCTCCTGCCACACCTGAGAACTTCCCTGGGGCCTGCGAAGTTGACAAATAATGACAACTCAGATCAGTTTGTTCCATTAGAGGCCTTGTCCATGTAGGGCAGTTCTCTTGTACACATTCCAAAGCATTCTCCTCAATTCAGCTTTTTTTTTTTTTTAAGACCTAGAAATATCTGTTGGATTCTTTTGTTCTCCTGGAGCATTCATGGTTTGTTATGAGGAACCACATCTTAATGCTAGTTTCTTTTTCCCACTTTAAAATTGATGGTTAATGCTAGAGTGAGGTTTTATTGCTATCTCAAAAGCTTGTTTTCCTATTATTGACATTTAGAGGGTTTTTCAAGAACCTTTATTAAGTGATTAACAGTTTGTTCTGTTTTATAAGATGTTCAATGAAGGTCAACTTTTATCTCATTATGGGAAAGTCTTTCCAGTTCTAGTTTTTACTTTGAGGACTTTAAGCTTGAATGTGGTGGGTCAGAAGCCCTCAGACATTCAGTGGGAGAGACAGGATGAGTAATAACAGAAATAGTTCATGTAGGAAGTGTGTGGTCAGAGACATACTACACATCTCTCTAGACTTTATGCTGCTCCCAAAAGTTTATTATTGGAGGTTGCTTTGTGGCTGCATTAACTGGAAGCATCAGTTAATGATCACTATAAAGGGAATTAGATAAAAACAGATGAATATGAATAGAGATATGAGGATGTATTTTTAAAAGACCATGGAATAGGAAGAGGAAACAGAGATATCATTTGTGGTTGTGGTGGTTCTGTTTTAATCGACTTGTCGTTTTCCTGGTACAACTTAATCCTGTGGTACTCTTTTGGGGTAGTTGGTGGTATTTGCTTTATTCATTGAGAAACTGAAACACAAGTTAGAGAATTATGCTAAGGTAGCTGAGGAAGGATTCAAACCCAGATAAGAGAGTCTGCAGGTCACGATGTCTAAAATTATGCAGAGCTGAAGACCTGATGTCCCTATTCTTTGGAGCTTATAGTCCAATAGGAATCATCAGATGAAGAGACCATAAAGATGGGTGTCTGGGTCCACTGGGGTTGGGGTATATTTCAGAAGTTTGAAATGCCAGGGAAGGGGTAACTAGAGTGGACAGGAGAGGAGAATGGTGAGTCTTTTGCACAGTAAGCCTGGTGTGGTGTACGAGAGGGTCAGTTCGAGGTGAGGCCAGCCTGCCAAAGTGGGTAAGAGCAAGAAGAGGAGGAATTTGGGCAATAGGAACTGTAGAAGCCCAGAGAGTGGAAAATGGATCATGATGAGAGATGTGTGAGAAAGTGAAAGGAGAGGACAGAAAAGGACCCCAGGCTGAATTGGGACCTTCTATTCATTTATAATTTCTCCCCATAAAACAGACCAGTGACAACTTTTTGTTTCTTACAGTGACAGAAAAAGGATGTCTGTAATTGTCCGAACTCCTTCAGGACAACTTCGACTGTACTGTAAAGGGGCTGTAAGTATCTACATAGCATCTCCTAAGCACAGGGTTGTTGGTTACTTCTTAAATCTGCTGCTTTTCCTAACTGCTGATCCCCTCACCCCCTAATCCTTTGCTCAAAGTTGAAAAAGTGCTTCCAGGCCTGATGTCATGGTGACAAGGCCACTGGACATACTGTGGTTTGAGGCAGCATGGCAGAGGCAGTTAGTGCACAGTGAGCATCCAGTCGAATGTTGGTTTCAGAAAGAGCAGCTTGTTGTGTGAAGGCAAACTCCATGGAGGATGAATTCTGATACCAGTTTTATCCCCAATATCTTGTGACTCCATAAAGTAATTTGCGCTGGCCCAAGACACGAGTCTGTAAGTGGCCTGGTAGATGGTGCCTCTCTGACAGCTATTCTTCCCAAAAGCTGTGATTTATTTTTTACTCATTGCAGTAGGCCTAAGGGCAGTATGCATGTGTAACCACATTTTTAATCTTCCTTTGATCAGTTTCCCCTAGTTAGGCATTTGGTCCTGTCTCCCACCTGGTAATCAAACCCAAAGGTGCTGTCTCTAAGGAAAGATGTTATTATTTATGAATTTTGCTTGTAAAATTATATCCTGTTAAATGGTGGTCATATGGGTTGAAGAAAAGAACTTTTAAGCTTATTTTATGAGACTGTGTCAAGCATATGATATTATCACAGGGTCAATATTGGTTGAAAAATCTCACTAAACTTTACCAGTTGTGGGGAAAAAGGTGGTTTTATTTTAGTACAGTAGGACTAAGGATTTTCAAAAATGAGTAATGCATGGGACTTCTAAAGGCATTGTATCTGGACCCGTAAAAGAATTCTGATTTTATGATAGCAACTTCTGTTAAAATCATTAAGATGTGTTCTGTGTTACATTTTTAAAAATGAATAGTTATTTTCCATTGTGTTCTCAATATTCCAGCAAGTGAGGTGGCAGAGAGAGGAAGGCAACAAATACAGAACAGTACAAATATGAAAGTGCTGCCAGGGCATTTTATTTTTATAGAATTTAATTACCATATCTCCAAACCTGCCTCCTAAGCCATACTTGTTCTTAAAATCAGTGTCTGGATACTCTGCAGTGTACAGCATATTTGATGGATTATCTCCGTCCAGACCCACACCCCTGCCTATCAGTCATGCAAATCATCACAGGTGATGGGCTGTATGAACCTGTGTGTTTCTCGGCAGGAATGGGTTCAGTTGTGCCTTCTGTGTTGTGCCTTCCCTGTTAGGAGAACTCCAGTGTCTGCAAGCATGGGTGTACTAGAGTAACTTAGGTTGCATATTTTTCTCTTACTCTTTCTTCATGGAAAACCTCTAACATTTCTGTATTACAGGTTGAGACCACCTCTAATCCAGAAATTCAAAATGTTCCAAAATCTCAATCTTTTGAGCATTAACATAGTGGAAAGTTCTACACCTGACCTCATATAAGTCAAAATGCAGGCACAGTAAATGTACTGTGTAGAATCATCTGCAGGCTGTGTGTATGTGGAGCATGAATGAATTTTGTGTTTAGATGTGGGTCCCAACCTGTAGATGTTTCATTATGTATGTGCAAATCCTATTCTAAAATATGAAAAAAATCCAAAATCTATACTACTGCTGGTTCCAAGCAACTCAGACAAGGGATACTTAGACTGTACACACTTTAGGATGAGGGTTTGCAAATTGTTGGTGAACCTAAGCACTGTCGTGTCCTTGATTATTCTGCTTGGTCCTAGGGTGTTTTTACTTGGCTTTTAAGGTACATAACAGCTTTTGGTTTTGTTGGGCATATCCAAACCCACTTTTTTTCAAAGCTCGTGCCTCAGCCAACCAAAGACGCTAATCTTACTCACTCAGGTATTTTCATGTCCATTAGATAAACACTATTAAACCAAGCCACGTTTAGCATGCTGACTGGGAGATTTCCTGAAGGGTTTGCCAGTCACAATCAGTGTTTCCCTATTTTATAGGATAATGTAATTTTTGAAAGGCTTTCAAAAGATTCAAAGTACATGGAGGAAACGTTATGCCATCTGGAATATTTTGCCACAGAAGGTAAGCAAAATTTGGAAATGTTTTTGGTCCTTGAAGCTGTGCTTTCAAGTGTTTATGGCTGATGCTTGAGTAAGCAGTCTTGTTCTGAATATGCGTTTCCTTTTAGGACACACTTGGCTTGCTTCATAGGAGTATATTCCTCAAGGGCCTACCCTGTCCTCTCCAATTGCCACATTTTGTGCCTGTGGCAGTGACAAAATAAGTGGCCTAGTCTGAACTCAGTTACCCAACGTGATTCTGCTAACTCATAACCAGTCATGCAGCAGGAGGTGCAGGCTAACTCTGGACATGTGGTATCATCTTGTCCCTTTCTTAGAAAACTTGTTGTCATTTCCCTGTGCCTCTCCTGTTATTCTTATGACACTGGCTAATCCCACTTTAAGGAAACAATTCACCAAACCCACAGAGAGCAGGAATGGTGCTTTCTAGAAGCCACCAGACAAACCTGGTGTCAGATTTTCCTGCTTGTGGGTGCGATGATAGCTGGAGCCATGCTTCAGTGCTGCTGCTGCTGCTGCTCTCTGTGTGGAGTGTTCCTGTGCCTGCACGAGAGCATTCACATGAACGAGTGTGCACACATACGTGCTTACCCACGGGCATGGCTGCCTGAAAACTTGGCTCTTTAATGTGATTGAATGCTGAGCTTTTTATTGCTGTCTTGAAACATACTTTCTCTACTTGAAGATTTCTGCCTCACATACGTGCACTGTGCGTGGCACCTGCACCCTCTGCTGTGCAAAATTTACAAAATTTATAGAAGAGTTGGTTTATTTCAGAATATAGTGGAGCCATCTTTAAATTCCCTCTGTAGATATGTGAGTGCTGAATTAGAATGACCTAAAAAGCAGACTATTTCTTTAATTATTTGAGCATGCGGATGTAAGAGGAAGCCACGTAATGTCTCTTAGGATGTAAATTACAGTATCCTTTCTGTCCGCATTCAACAGTGCCTGTTTTTCAGGCTTGCGGACTCTCTGTGTGGCCTATGCTGATCTCTCTGAAGCTGATTATGAGGAGTGGCTGAAAGTCTATCAAGAAGCCAGCATCATATTGAAAGACAGAGCTCAAAGGTTGGAAGAGTGTTATGAGATTATTGAGAAGGTAACCACACTCAGGATAGTCTTTCTGTTCCTACTGAAGAACCTCACTGCCTACTGAACAAGGCTTTGAATAGGAATACGTCTGCTGTACAGTTATGCTTTCTTCTCTCTAAATGAATCCTTACCTTTGAATCATATCTTTGCTTTAGAATCACTTAGTATTCAAAGATCCAGCCACCTTCAGCTAAACATTAATGATGTTTTAAGAAATATTAGGTCAAAAACTGCATCAATTTCTTTCTGGGTTTGCCTAAGATTCATAAGGTCAGGTTACCCTATTGAGTCATGTGAGGCTATTAGGTCACCCTATTGAGAATGTCGTATAGTAGGCTGGTTAGATATTGGAGAAACTTATTCTAATATTATTTATGCCCTAGTGGTGCTATTCCATATTGCCTACATCATTTTTTGTTGTTGTTGTTGTCATTATTTTCAGTTCAACTCAAGGCATTAGTTCATTTTGAACTTATTTGGATTCCCTGAAATTTAGAAGCTATGTTTTAACTTTTCTCCTTTGATGCCAGCAGCCATGGAACCATCTATTTTCCAGTATCTAAAGTACACCTAAAGCCATCACCCATTTGCTTTTTTTCATTCCTTCATATTTTAAAATTCCCCTTTGCTTTTTCTGAGTTTTTGCTTGGGCTTTATATTCCGTTGTTCACATTCAGTCATTGTAATGGAATCCTAGCAGCCATGATACTGAATTCAAGCATAGATTTTGCCCTGCTTTTCTTGTTTAGAAAAAGATGAGTTAACTTCATCAGTTTGCTCGAGCAAGGCAAAGTTCTAAACAGAACAGCATTCCTGATGGAAGATGGTGCCTAGAGCACACCTCATGTGCAGGCTGTATTTATAGCAAGACAAAAGAGAGTGACATATAGAAGCCATTGGGTTGGTTTCAGTCGGCATTTGCCGTATATGGACATGTTTTGTTCCCTGATTGGCTGGAAGCTCAGCTTCTGTGATTGGTTTCAAACATATGCCTTTTGGTTGGATTGCAGTTTGCTTAGCGATCTAGGTAATAGTTCTCTACCGTAGAGAGTTCATTTGGGGCCAAATTTTATAATCTATATACAGAGACAAGTTTAGGCCAAATTCAACACTAGAAATATCCAAAATTAACTTTTACAGTCAGAAAAACGTAATTAAATGGGTACCATATCCATGTAGTACTAAGCATGTGGTGGGTGCTCATTAGGTAGCTGGATTTCCCCTTGGTCTAATCATAGAGAGCTAAAGTGCTGTGTCATAGACTCAGGGAAGGCAGTGAGGGATGAATGGGCCATCTGTACAGCAGCTTCTCTGAACAAGGCCAGACCCATGCACAGATCTCTTACTGTTATACCTGCAGATAAGAGTATCACTAGAATCAGTTCTTCTCTTAAGTGCAGCTTGGTGCTTTACTTATCAGAGGAATGGCTTATGCACTGTTAAGTTGGGATAATCACTTCCTTGTGCACTCTGGATGCTTTCTATCCTGATGTGCTCAGAACCAAGGAATGAAAGACGAGTGCTAGTTGCCTGTGTGTGTGGAGAGGTGTCAGCCTTGTGAATTGTTTGGAGTTCCCCACACCTAGATATCATTAATCACCTAACGGACTGGGGCTTGGTGTAGACGATTAAGTTAACTGTCTCAGAACCTTTTCATTGGCTTTGTCAGAGTTGTCATTAATGCTGTTCTTGACTGTGAATTAATCTAACTGAAGACGTTTTTCAACCTAGAATTTACTATTACTTGGAGCCACAGCCATAGAAGACCGCCTTCAGGCTGGTGTTCCAGAAACCATAGCAACTCTATTGAAGGCAGAAATTAAGATATGGGTGTTGACAGGAGACAAACAAGAAACTGCAATTAACATAGGTAATCAATTTTAAAAGTGATTTCTTAGCACTGGTGTTCATTTTTGTAAGCGTCTTGTAGACATATCTAAGTGTTTTAGATAATATTATGTGGAAATCTTCACTTACAGGATCAGAGAGTTTACCCAAATTCAGGGATGTTGCTCTTTCACATGCTACCTGCCTGTTACAAATACTGGAACCATCATAGCTTCCTGAAAAGAATGAAACACACTTGGAATATACCATTTGAATTGAAAAGTTGGCTTTTCTAATTTCTTCACAAAGTTTCACTCTGAGAAGCTATTTATACTAGATTTAAGTATGCATCATTGTTATAATTATAACCAATTTTAGTAATTTTACCAATGGATATGTTTTTCTGTGAGTTTCATATCTTTCTCTTCCCCATTTTGGATGACAACCTTCCTTGCTGAACTTCACAGAGGTGGAAATTGAAGAAAGGCAACTTAACTCAGAATCGCTGTGTTAAAGAAGCCCAATTTAAGCTTAAAAAGGAGTTGAAGCTAATTTTTTAAAAACTGTAACTTGGATCATTAGAAATATTTTGAAATAGTCTCTACTTAGGTCATCATTATGATACTGGACCTGGTACAGAGGTGGTAAAATGAATACAGTTGTACAGTACAATGTCTTTATGGAAACAGTCTCTATTATTGCTGCTTTTAGAAGAAAACATGTTAGAAACTGTGAAGATTTTTAGACTGCAGTTCTGTTCAGAGTAGACTCCTTGGGTTAAATATTTGGGTTTTGAGGCAACCCTTTCCTCAGAACCTGCTGTTTTGACTCAGTAACCTCAGCTGCAGATAATACTTACCCTTGGAGTGAATTTTATTTATTTTTTTAAATAGAGAAATGCCATGTAATCATTTCTTATTGGTAAGGCTAATTAAGTGCAATTCAGTTTACTGAACAACAGAAGTTCAAGTCACAGAGAATGATATAGGTTTTTATGAACATTCTTGAGGCAACACCTGTAAACTTTGTCTCTGATCTGTGTTGTTTGTCATTCAAGTGCATGGTTTAGGGCAAGAGTGTGATGATAACTCAGTGCAGACCCATCATTGCTGCTAGAAAATAAAACCCCCAGGCATATCCCTTTGAGGACCTGTGAGTAGCATCTTCCTAACTGAAGAACAACACATTTACTTTTTGTGTGCTTTCTGTATTTGTGTATAGGTTGCTCAGGTGTTGTTTCCCATTAAAATTTGCTCTAAAACACCTATCAATCTATGGCCCCTGTTCATCATAGAAAACGTAACTGCTGCCCTGAAATGCTTACCTAAAACTTACTTAATATGATGTGCTTTCTGACCTCTTAAAGTGATATGGAAAAAGTGGATATAACCCCTCAGTTAAAAATGAGCATAGTGATAACCTTTTTAGCTCCCCAGATCTTGAGTGTTCCTACTGGACTAATGCTGTATGCATTCTCCTTGCTCCAGACTTAGCTTCTGTAAGCATTTGACTTGTCTGCTGTGGAAGCTCATGGGGCACCTGTCCATCACCCTGCCCCTTGGGGCACTCATGACCCTTTCCTTGCTTTGTTTTGTTACACTGGAGCCTATTTGAGCTCAGCTGGAATAAACACAAGGGAAAGCAAAGGGCTGGAAGTCAACCCAGAAAACAACAATGGGAGTATTAGTTGCAAAGGAGAATTTTGCTGGCATTGGTAAGCCTGCCCTGAGCCTTATGCCATAACTGACCATCCAAATACTTTTAAAAACGTTGATTATTTTGTACTTTATCAGTGAAGGTATAGTAACATAACATGTGTGATGTTGGTGCCAGAAGTAGTCACATCTGTTAGCTTTTTCTTAAATGATCTTTCATAGTGAATCCTCCTCAAGACCACTCAAAGATGGTGCCTCCTACTTAAAAGCTGATGAGGTTGTCAAAGTCTTTATGTTTATACTGGAAGTTTTATCAACTTCTATTTTATCTAGTGTTATCATTCACATTTGAACTCTTCTTTGATGTTAGTCAGTATGTATCTAACGGTTAGGGAATCAGAGTTCCTTAAGGGAACTAGGCCTGGATTATTCAATTATTAATCTACCATTAGAACTCAAGCTTGTAACCCTGAATAGTGCTGAGGGATTAAGTGTCATTTTCTCATTTAGGTTATCTGTTGAGCCTGCAAAAGAGCAAGTAGGCTCAGGAAAGTAGATCTGTCTAGACGTTTCATTAGAGTTACTTTTGAGCCACAAGTGGCTGGTATCAGCAGCATGAGATCATTCTCTGGATAGAGTATGGGGGTTTGAATTGCTTTTAGTTGTATAGTCCTTTTTTTTTCCCCTGGTAAAAGCAACCATATTGATAGGCCTCCTGGAACACTGTATATGTTAGTGCATTCCATGTGTGCCTCAGAGCATCTAAAAGGTATTTGAGAAGAGCAGCACTTAAGTACCTGGCAGTTCTGTCTCTAGGTAGAGGTAGGGAGAGACAGCAAATTGGTAGTGTTTGGCTAGTGCCAGTTCTGAGGCTGCAAGTATTCCCTGAAAACTATTTTCTGTCTTTCCATGTGAAAACTGTTCAAGTTCACAGAAAAACTTGGAGTTGTTCAAGGTTCTATTTTACTTAAAGACTAAACTAGATTGAACACCCTTTATGTCCCAAATGCTTAGGACCAGAAGTCTTTCAGATTCTTTATTTTATTATTTTTATTTTTGAATATTTGCATCAACATTTCCAGTTGAACATTACTAATCCAAAAATCTAAAATCCAAAGTGCTCCAGAATCCAGAACTGATCGGATTTTGGAGTATTTGTGATTTTTAAATTTGGGGAGTAAGGTGCTCCAACCTGTACTAGATCTCAGGGCCCTTGACTTCTGGTGCAGGGATTATGTAAAGAGATTCACATAATTTTCACAAAAACTGTTACCTGAAATTTGAATTAAAAGCCATGTAAAAATTGTACTGTATTTCATCCATTTTAATATGCTTATTGTTTTTTCAACCTTTGGATAGCCCTGAAATTGGGATATGTTTAACCCTTGATGCTTACACTTTTAATTGGCAACATTTGCTACTTGTACATATAAGAGTTCATCTTTAGATTTGATGACATTTGTTATACTTTGTTTCGGGGGTAGTTAGCTCTCTATCATTTGCATACAAACACAGATAACATAGTTTGAGAATTTATTTTTAATGTGGGACTCTTCCTTCATATTTATATATACTCAGTCAAATTAAATTTCAGGATATTTGTGTCTCATGTGATCCAATGAGTTCTGGGTAGATAGATGGTCATTTTGCCTGTAGATTTTACTAGTTTGAAACAGTCATGTTCTAAGATTTGTGCAGTGCTGGGCTTGAATTTATGCTAACTCACTGTGTTTGGGAGAATTGGTACTTTTCTTTTTTTAGGTTAAAAATTTGGCATCAGCTAGTCTAACATGAAATTTCAGGTGTGGCCTTTGTGAATCAGTCGGTTGTCATTTCCTTATTATAACTAGATAAAACATCTATTAATAACTTTTATAATACATATGAAGTTCTGAGAGTTTATAATTTTTTTTCTAATGGGTACAGGATGAGCAAAAACAAAATCCTAGTGTGTATTCCATCTGAAAGTCATTAAGCTGGAAGTGCTGTCATCTCAAATCATTTCTGAGTTGCAGATTTGAGTCCTTTGTGTCCCTGAATCTTATTATCCATCAGGTGATACTTTTAAACCACTTTTTAAAACAGTCTTACAAGTTTAGTTGAAATATTTTAAAAATCTAGTTATGTATTCTAAGGTATATAATATAAATGGTATGGTTTACATGCAGATGATCTTAGCTTACTGTTGAAAAGGCCCCTGAACCATATTATCTCACTTCTGTGGCACCAAAGTCTGTTTTAGTTATTTTTCTTACTGAAGGAAGACAATACCCAGCTCCCACAAATTAAAGGGAGGAGAGGTTTGTTTTAGCTCACAGTTTGTAGAGGTTTTAGTCCATCGTTGGCTGCTCCAAGGCTGGGTGGCAGGCAGAAGTCTGTGGCAGAGGAGAAACAGCTCATGACACAACCAGAAGGAAGCAGCCAGCTGGCCTTTTCCTTTTATTCCATCCAGGCTACCAGTCTTTTGGGTGGTACCGCCCAAAACTATGCTAATTCCAATTAGTGGACTAATTTAGTACCACACACCCAACTTAATCCCACTATCTCATTCCCTAGATCCAGCCAACTCCCCAAAAAGCCATGAGGCTTGGGTGGGAGCATCTAGATACAAGCCAGAACAGAATTTTATAGATATTAAATGTGACTAGTTTTTGTAATAGTTACTAGTAAATATTATCTGATATATGTTTGATACTGTGCTACTTCCTATATACAGGACAGTGATTGAATTCCTATGTGGAATTTTTTAAAAAATCAAACTGAAGCACAGAGAGATAAAGTAACTTAGCCTAGGTTACACAGGTGTTAGGATGCTTAAAATCTGAGCACTTAACCATGACATTTAATATTCCCTCCTCAGGAGAAAGCATGAATTGTAAATGACCAGGGAAAACTTCAGGATGAGACAGATTTAAAACTTGAGACTTCAGGAATTTCTAAAATCATAAGAACTAATCACTGCATAGAATGGGTTAGAATAACCCAGTTTCAAGAGGAGCTTAAGAGCTAAGGCTGAGTCAGGGTGTTCTTCAGTAGGATGATGTTTTCTGACACAGGCCTGCCTCTCGAGGGAAAGATGTTCACAGATGTGGCTCTGTGAATCAATGTTTAGCTCTCTGATCTCTGGTGATGAAAGACGCTGAACTGGATCTCCTGGCCTTCAACTAGAGTAGTTTAAGACACAGTCTTCTGTCATCCATTCCTGGTATCTGCCGGTGTTTTTCATCCATTTACACACAAATACGGATTGGCCAGAATTTCTGTGAAATTATTTAGAACCACCAACACACTTATGGGGGGGTGACATGTGCAGTTATGATAATGGGTATGTGGCCTGGTTGATGTGATCTTAAAATACGTGGTAGGGAGAAAGAAGTTGTTCCTAATG